GATCAGTTTAACTATAAATTACATTGAATATAAAAGGTCCAGCTGTAATTCACCTTCCATATCTCTGGGCAGTGGAAAATATTTTCCTTACTGTGAATGGAGACAAAGCATTCTTCACATAAAAGGAATATGCCACAGTCGAAACATCTCAATGCACCTGAAGTCGAGTTTGCATTGCATTTCCTGCATTCTTTTTTCACTTCACCTTCTTTTTTCAATGAGATTTTGATCAGGTTTTCCCTGATTTCATGCCAATGATTTACTGCACTTATTCTGCTCCTTTTGTAATGCGACGGACCAGGCTGTGCACTATCTCCGAAATCAAAGCAATCATCTTCAAGCTCGTCGTGATGTTCAGTAGAATCTCCAACATAATTATCACTTCCTTGTCGAAGACCACTTTCTAATATTTTCACAGTATTCCTAACCCGTTTCACTTTCGTTTTTCCTTCATCGTCGACGAATTGCTGATAGTCTTCGACAATTAACTTTGATTTTCCTTTATTACATCCAGGATTAAAAAACATCTCTCTCGCAAAAAAAATTGTTTCCTTCACTAATCAGGCGTTCCTTTCACAGTAGAATAAGAGGCTGGGCACTAGTAGTCTAGTCTATTACAAAGTTTTTTTATGTTATTAAAGACATATATCTTGACCTTTTGGCGTTGAAAAAAATTCTGTTGCAGTTTGTTTGACGTAAGTCAAAAATATTCATAGATTCCCTGGACTACTAGTTATAGTAGTGCTATGTATTATGTAAGAACCACTTTCAGTGTTTAGTCTATTTAACCTTTTATTAAAAACAAAAACAATGGACAATATTTATATCCTTAGGTCTAACTATGGTCTAGATGAAGACCCACATGGAAACACTGAATCATGTCTATTCGGAGAAAAGTTTATTGTATTCCAGAGCTGCTTATTAGAAATATTCAAAAGTTGCCATGTATGCCAGAAAGAAGCTTAGCCATCTATCACTGAAAGGAGAGTGGTACTATGATCACATTGGAGGTCATATGACTGTATGTATCAATGGACATCACAGAATTTGGAATACTAACCATGCCATGGCCTTATGTCTTGGGGGAATGTGCTTTTAACAGCATCAAAACTGCTCACTGGAAGTAATCCAGCAATGGTTATCATTTTTTTCAAGCACATTGGGGTTTGGTATTTTTCACATAGGACATACTATTACATACAAAGGTTGTACCTTATTCCAGCTATTGATCAAACATGTTTGGCAGAGAAAGAGGAGATTTGACAAGATGTGACTCACCTGGYCATGATTTGTGCAAAATATAGAGCACACCACATTGTCACAGTACATCTATCACAGTACAGAATTGTACAGAATTTCACATGCTTTACTTGTGAATGAATTCATTTGTTTAAATATGAAAAATATGAAAGTTTAAAATTCAGTATACATGTATAACAGGATAAGGGGTTGGGAGTTAGGACTAGACACCCCCATACAAAACAATCTGAATTTCTGCCTGGACATATAAATCCAAATTCTTGAGAAACAAATGCAAATCTCTACTTTAACATTTCCRTATAGCGCCTTAACAATTGTCATTCAAATGTATTTTATTTGAATTGCAATAATTTTGATTTGAATAACAATACTTACCCCCTATAGAAAACAGAACTTAGGCATGGACATGTAAAAGTATAGAATGCCAGAACTTTATTAGGAAGCAAAATAATTGTCCCAACAGATGCAGACGTATAACTTTCAAAAATGGACTTTAAATATAATATTATCAGGTTCAAACAATAAGGTGGATGCACTTAATTCCTCAGATATAAGTACTGAAAGATAAAAATTATGCATGTGCTAAATTATGCTATAGTTTTCTATTCTATTTTCTCTAGCAAGTGTTTTTTGCAAATTTTTACTTGGCAGACACATTCTTGGGAAACTTGATATATGCACTCTAACCAATAAGTTTACAAATTTACAAAGCAAGTACTAACAATGACATTGACTTCATAATAAGACAGATAACAATAACATTTAAATAATGATAATAAATGAGTTTAATCATACCCTTCACATTAGTGGTCGATGATAATAAATTTAAAAATACATAGACAATTCAACAGACATTGTAAAAGGATTTTATTGCAGCTCATATAAGAGTGAAAATTATACAAAGTTACAAGGTACGCAATAAATACTAGATGAAAATAGAAGCATTAGTCCATTGCAAGAATGACCTCTTTACCTTAGAAGTAGAGCCATGATAGAAGAAATGGTAATTCTACAGTTTGGTTAAATAACTCAGAAATAATCAAAGAAAATGAAAATTATGACAATCAAGGACTACATTGAAATCACATTAAGTTAAAAACGTAATCAACATGCCTGTATCATGCCCGTGATAGATCGGAGGGCGATCGGGAGACCCGAAGGCAAACTTCTAAACTATACGCGTTGCAAGGCCCTGGTCACGAGTAATTATGCGGCATTGCCGGATTTCATGTCGAAAGAGACTGGGAACGAGGCGGACAAATTTAATCCAAAATGGCGGTTGTCGGGCATTGGAATTGTGCTAGTTCTTTGTGTTTGAACAGTTGGAGAACTAACATTCCAGCTTTAACATCTTACAGTCTTCGACAAATCTCTTCAATCGACCATTTAAAGAGAGAATACAAGAAAATTCTCAAAAATGACAACCTAAACTGGACAAAAGCAAGAATTTGCTCAGAACACTGGTCTGCTGGCAAGAGAGAACATATTGATGATATTCCTAATGTCATTTACGCAAAACGATATCTAGAAAAGATGTAAAATTCGAAATTTACAAAAAACAAAGCTAAAAAAGTAACTGATGGTAAACAAGCCTTGCATGATGAGAATAAAAGACCTAAAAAGAAGAGACGTATCTTACAATACAGCAGACAGTCGAAGGACGATGACGGTGGTGTTGACATGACACAACTTCGTSAAGAGCTGAAGAAGAAAAACAAAGAAATTGAAAAGCTACAGGCCCAAGTTGAAAATTTACTGCAAGAGCAGAAATCGCAAGAAAAGAACTTCGACATACTTTTTTTCTGGATTGAAGAGAGGGCAATTTTCGTATGGAAATTTAAAAGAACAACCAAGTAAATTGTTTGATTTAACTGGTCTCTCTATAGAAGAGTTTGATTGCCTTTATTACTGTGTTCAGCCTTTTGTCCATCTTATATGTTATCCAGATTGTAAAACTGATGGACTACTCACCAATAACAGAAAACTTGACTTAAAAACTGAACTGATGACTTTTTTTACTGTGAGCAGACACTCACTTCACTTGAATGTGATGG